TTGCAGAGCACACACAACATGTTTCCGCATTCTATGAATTACTCTGATTTGATGATGTTTTGATAAATCTCGATTTACTTGGTTTTATGGAAGTGTTATGTATTAACGATTTATTAATCTAAAAACGAAAATTTTATGTCATTATTGATGGGACGTTTCAATATATCACAAACATTTACTTTATTATTATAAATTGTTTGGGATTACATCGTTTAAAAGTCAAGCACACAACCTAAACAACACTAGAAACGATAAACAGACGAAACTAAACTCCAACAAGCTTCCTTGAAAATCTCCTCCACCTCGGCACGAATATTCTCCTCACTCATCTCCCTGAGAATACATGTATTTTGAAAACGTCAACATAATGTTGGCGAGTACACAATTTTTTTTTATAAATTTCGGCTTTTATTGGTTGTATTAGTTTAAGAATCATTTTTCTTTTAGAAAATCTTTTCCTAAAATATTTTATCAACCCTAGCTTACTATCTTTTTAGGATATCTAACGATCCTATCTTATTATCTTCTTAGGATATTTTATTAATCCTAATTATCTATCTTTGTAGGATTTTTAACTAACTCGAACGTATATTTATCTAACATTCTAATGCGTCCATAATGGTAGTCGGATCTCTAAGGTGTTTTTAATGTATTACCATGAGGACCCATAGTCGACGCTGTTTGAGTAATAATTTGCCCTGCCACGACGCTTCATCGGACGTCGAATAATGAATAATAAGAAAGTTATCATGTCAGGATTGTAGCTAGCAATCGCAGGTGGGGTTGTCAATCACCGTATAGATCTATACATATCTTTTTAGCTCTCGTAAGATTAACGATTATAGGTACCAGAGAAGTCGATTTTAATCAAGGCCTTTGGATGAATATTAACAGCTCACTAACACATTAACCTTAGGTATTTATCTTTTATCTTTTATCTTTTTATCTTTCCTATAACTATCACAGTATAAATCTTTTATCTTATATTTGATAATTACAACCTTTTGATCTCATAATTATTTTGTATGTGTGTGTGTATATATATATATATATATATATATATATATATATACTATCATACATATATACCTTAATTATGGTTATTTGAAAACATGATATTTGGGCAGAGTAACGATTATGTACAATGCATATCCTTATATTTGACCAACATAACTTCTATGTACTATGTTATCCTAGGCATTTGACCATTATAACATCTAGGTATTATCTCTAGGTATCATAACACTTAGACATAATATCATAACTTATAACTAGGCATAATATCTTTAGCTATATTATCCTAAGGCTTTAAGCTTTATAAAATGGTTGATATTTATAGATATAAATATATTTTGGTAGAAAATCCTGAATATTATTTATACAAGGTTATCTCATAATATTTAGTGTTTTATTTTAATTATCTAAGGTATGCAAAAAATTGGATTTCGGTAGAATTCAAATCAGATAAATTAAAATTAACCACATAAATCAAATTAGGCAGAAAATCTTGAATTTCCTAATTTGAGCTAAGCTCACGTCGTAACAGAGACTCTGTCATGTCATGAGAACAGATTTTCGAAAAAATTCAGATTTTTTAATTCACCTCATGTACAAACAATGTTAGACACACCAAGGATCTGATACCACTGATAGGTTTAATAAGTTAGAAAAACTATATGCTTGTGGAATTTCACTTAACACTTAAGGGTACATGCAACCTAAAGGATCTATGTCTTAACACTTTGAATGTAACATACAATGAACAACAAAACCTAACATGAACCCTAGTAAACCCTAGTATAATCGAAATACAAGAATTAGGGTTATATAACTTTGATTTGTTGTAGTAAACAAATCACTTCAATCCCTTGTCGTTGTTGTTCTTGGAAAGCTTAGCACCAAAAGGATGATGTCTCTAATGGATCACACCCAAAACCAGAAACCCTAGAATAAAAAAGGAGAGGGGAGATATGAGAGAATTTTCATTCATATACTTATAGGTAATGTCATGAACGAAATTGGATTAAACAATAGATTTAATCCTAATTCAAAGCAAGATTTGAATTTATTTGAATAATAGATTTAATTGACTGTATGCAACAAGGAGGCTTCTAGAAACCATAGAAGAGCTCCTAAAATCGGCAATTCTTGGATGGTTCTAGAATTGTCTCTTTTGTTCAACTATTGAACAATTATAATTCACCTCTTTCACCTTTAATTAATCCAATTAATCCCGAATTAATTCCAGATTAATTCTAATTAATAATTAATCAATTCTAATTGATTTTACATAAATTTATTAATCATATAAATTAACAAATCAATTATTTAACAACAGATCTCATATTAATTTATTAATCACATAATAAATCAACAAATCAACTATGTATTTCCAATTAATATATTAATCACATAATATATTAACAAACTATTTTCCCATAATTTCAAATTAGTTTATTAATCATATAACAATCTAATAAGTTATCATTCTTTCTCCTAATATCATTTCTAGCTATTTCTAGTTATGAGGGCAACCCAAAAAGGACTTTGCTTATAGTTACAAGAATATATCAATTTAGTTATGAGCTTAAACAACTTAATCCAACAAATTAGTCATTGAATTCTTCAATGAGAAAAAGGAATGATCTTTAATTCTTAAATAAATGTTTAAAGTATGTTTCATTAAACATGGTAATGCATTGTAGAAAAAAATTAATAGAATTGTATGGAATAATAAATGATAATGTGTCAATTTATTCAATTTTTAAAAATTCAATGCATTGTGGATGCTCTTACAAATCATAAATCAAAGTTATTAGATAATATTTATTTTTGTTTCTATATAGAGATAGAATAAGCCAAGTAATAAAGGCATTACTTCGTAATATCATCATGACTTTGTGACTTTGTTTGAAGGTAGTTATGTATGTAGAACTTGTAATGCAATGTTTAAGACTAAGAACATCCACACCGGTGCCATGTTAAGATCTTGCAAATGGTGTATAGCTCATCATTATTCATCTATTTGTAGAAAGAGAAACCAGTGGGCCACTATAAAAGTATTTGCAAGCCTTTCATATATAGCAAGATGAAGTCCTAGGTGGCATTAAATTATTGCTCAGTGGCATTGCAAATTTTACTTGAAAGACCCGATGGAGATGGTCTAAGACACATATTTGTTAGAAGGTACTTGGTTTTGGAACAAAAATATTTTTATTGTTTCTTTTGGTTTATGGCGGAAGCTAATTTCTCGGGGACTCGTTTTAACTAAAACAAGGATCCGGTCTTTAACAATTAACTTTTAAATATGTTAATCGACCGAAGTGAGTAGCAAAAATATAATGATAAAGACATTCATCAGTAGTATCATCGCGACTTTGTTAGAAGATAGCTACCGATATAGAACTTGTAATACACTGCTTAAGACTTTGACCTCTGTTTGTTAGAATGTACTTGGTTTTGGAACAAACATATTTTAACTATTTCTTTTATGTTTTTGGAATTGTACCAACGGTTGTAAGACTAGTACCATGTGAAAATCAGGTTTTACATGTATAAAACCGAATCACCAAAACTGGTACCAAAACCGAATTACATATAATGGGTCGGTCCTCGGTTTTGGGTTTGGCAGTTTTCAGTTTTGGTTCCAACTGTAGACAGTTCAGTTCGGCCTCTAAGGGAGGATGAAGTCTTTCCCTCCCAACACACTTAATTCACTGTTACATCAACGTCACATCAGTTTTTCTATCTTCTCTCTCTTCCAACCCTCCCAATCTATAACACATTCTCTCTTCCAACCCTCCCAATCTATAACACATTCTCTCTTCCAACCCTCTCAATCTATAACACATGAAAACCTTATCTTTTCCGACCCATTGCCACATCATTATTTTTATTTGATTAAATTAAAAATATAAAATATAATAAAACATAACATTTTTTATCACCGCATGCATCAAAATCAAAACCAATAAGACAAAACATAACATTATCTAATTAAATTAAAAATGTCAATATATTCATTTTCATTGTACAAATTTATATTAAAACAAAAGAATAAATAAATAAATAAAATAAAAGGAAATAAGAGTGCATGTTATCAACCCCACATACATCAAAACAAGAAAAAATAGGAATGAATATTTCATGTTTATTCCTCCATTCAATATGAAATTGAAACAAAATGGACGAGTTGGTAAACCCGCTAAGTGGAATAAATGTAAGAACCCGTTGAATCCATTGCTTGCTAGGGATCATATGCCGACGGTATCTCCCTTGCCAAAACTTCAACCCGTCTAGACTCCTTCCTCTCTCTAAGGCCCAATGGTTTATACTTTATATCATCTTTCACTTTTTCTTTGTCACATTAGCGTCATCTCATTTTCTCCTCACTTTCCTTTCTCAAAACCTAAGAAATTGTCACCTCGCTCTCCTATTGGCTTGGTGAACCACATGGTGCCATTGTAGGTACTCCGTCCGACCTAATGCAAACTATCTTGTCCGACCTAATGCAAACTATCTTAATTAATAGGCTTGATGATCTACTTAATTATCGTTTCAAAAAGAATTTCTAAAGGTAGATAACATTGGTCAACTAAAACTTTGCCAAATGGGTTTTTGACTTTGTGAAGACAGTCAGCCTCACAAGCATTGAACAAAGAGAAGCCATGTGCTCCACTTCCATAGACACAAACTGCCACTGGTTGTGGTTCATGGGTTTCACCATTTTGTGATCAGAAAAACAACCAACAAAATTACAAAACATCTTCATAATCAACTTTATATTATAATTCATATGTGATGATTTAAGTAAAGTGACTTTTCTTTTTTCGTTTTCAAATTTAGAATAAAACCAAACAAATCTTCCCCATAGTAACTTCTTATGTAGAAGTAGTACCATATTATACAGGAGAGGACAGATACGCAGCAATACCAGCTTTATATTCATGCACAAATCTGACACGTATATAAAGGATTTGCTATTATATTAACTTGTACATCATGCATTAAGAGTTGTATATTCCTGTGTAGGAGGCTGGGCAAGAGTCTTTTTCTGCCATGAACTGACTACACATCCCACTTTTTCGACACATCAACACCATTCCTTTTCCATTTGTTTTGTTTTATGTTGATTCCTTTAACATTCCTCAACTTTTTTTTAGTCATTTCACTTTCGAAATGTTCGTTTCTTTAAATAAATAAATCAAGTGTCAATATTGTTACATGGGAAACAACCACAAGAGCCACCATTGCCGGAAAAATGCAAGCTTTCATGGAGGTTCTTTGTCTTCTTCCCTCGCATGGTCGCCTTTTGAATTTGCAGGTTGTGTTCATACTGAGCTGCTGCTTTAAGTTCTTCAGCTTTTCTATTAACACTCGCCATCTTCCTCATCATCTTCTCCTCAAATTTCGATCGTATTTTCTGAATCTTTACCTGTAATATATTATATACATACATTCAATGGATAAACTTCAGTCTAATTCAAAAGCTTTCGTTTGCATGTAAATATGTACTAATAGTTTAATCACTTGGGATTATTAATATTCAACGTTGAAGCCCATTTCTCAAGAAAAATATACTATAAGTTATTTTCTTCACATGGGTTTGAAAGTTGCAGACTTGAAGCATCAAAATTTAAAAAAAAAAAATGAAATCTTGGAGACTTCTGATGTTATCTTTTAAGTTATGTACTAACATATTCCATATTTTTGCATTAAAACGAGGAATATCACACTAAAAGAGGTTCAAAAACAAAGTAAATAATTAAATTTTTCGGGTAAGAAATGGTGAGGGGCTCAATGTGATCAGGAACAAAACTGGTAGTAGTCCAGAAAAAGTCAACATAATACAGTCAATTGACACACTGCAATTCTTGAACAATTGTCCACCATTATTTACAGCATGCAGACAAATTACATGATTCAAGAAAATCAAAAATCATGTTTTTTTTTCTTTATTTTACCTCAAGTTTTCTTGATTGAGCTTCTGCTTTTGCGTTTTGGAGGTTTACCCAAGCTTGAATCTTTGCTTCTTCTCTTTCATACCTATACATATAATCGACAAAAGTTATAATTAACACTTTTAATCCGAAGTATTACAGACATTAGAATTTACCTGAAATGGGATTTCATCTTTTCTTCTTCTTCCCAAGAACAAGCTTTAGGCTCTGTAATGCTTTTTGGACAATCGTTGTTCATCTCGTAGTGTCTCAGACTCTTGGATACATCTTCTTCTTCTTCCTCTCTCGAGCTCCAATTGCAGGCAACCGAATTGAATGGCGACTCTAGATGTAACTTCGCGAAATGACATTCTTGTAACTCTGCAATGTCGAAGGAGCTGCTTGGGTTCATTAATGACAATGGGCCTGACATTGCAGGGGTGTTGTTCGGCGGCGGAGAGAAGCTTTCGAACGGTGTGAAGCACTGGGAGGCGGTGGAGCTTCTAGGCGGCGTCGTATTTGTTCCGGTGTCTCTCCGTTTAACTTCGTGAATGACTTCAGTTGATGCGTCTTTCATGGAACTGAATTGATCATACCCTTCGTTGATTGGCACCACGCATTTGAATCTCGAAAAATCGGGTTCCATGACTTCCGATCCATCTGTGAATTTATCTGTAATCGTAGATGAATTTATTCTTATGGGAATTAAGATCAGATAATGAAAAGGAGAAAGATGACAAGAGAGAAAGCGATGTTCACCTTTTAGGAGTACATCAGAGGAGACAGACGACGAGACGCCATTGAAAGGTCTGTTTGAGTTATGATGATGATAATGGTGGTCCTCTTGAAAAACAGAAATTGCTTTCGAAACCTTTTCATCTGTATTAATCCCTGAAGATACCTCTGTTTTCTGATGACTTTCCTGCCGTTGTGTTCTACCCAAAAACCCATTTCCACCGCCATTGTTACAGTGTTTCGACACAAAATCCGGAGATTTCACAAACCCATGAAGATGATGATGAGCAGGTGAGTCGGAACCACTAATCAGCCATTTCTCTGCATCATCCCATTTCGAAGGAACATTCTTTCTCGACCCAACACTGAAACTGAAAACGGGTCGACCCGGTGTAGGTGGAGCTTCCATTATCACATTACTCTTAACCCCAGCTCCATCTTTTTTCGCCATTGGGAACAACTTAACCAAATCGGTAGTCTCCTTGAGATCGAGTTTACAAACAGAATCAGGAAAACGATCATCAAACGGGTTGTCTTTCACCTGTTGAAAAAAAAAAAAACAGAACAATCAACAAAAAAAAGAAGAAGAAGAAGAAGAAACCAACAAAGTGGTTTGTTTGATCGTAAAAATGATTTCTTACCTGAGGATGAGGGTGAAGGTACCTTGAGGTTTTAAGATCCATGGCAATAATGGAGAAGGACAGTAGGAGTAAAGAGGATACTGTTGTAAAAACAAAGATGGAATCTGTAGCGATTTTTTTACTTAAGGGTAGGAAAGACAGGACAGAGCTTAAGTAGGAAAGATGGTAGCGACTGCTGGATAAATCGATGGTACCTACTGGTCAACAGAACCCACCCCGAAGGTATTGAACTCACATGGCAACTGTGAGGTAGGTTAGAATCAGGAACAGGTAGACTAGGGTTTAGTTGTTGCAGTTTGAGGTGGTGGGAAGAAGATGAAAGCATAAGCCAAAGATTTTCTGTTAGGTGAGTTTGTATTGCAATTTGCAAGCTTTTGAGGTGAAAAAAATAGCACATTGTAAAATACAAGTCTTGGTTTTCTGATTTACCATGATTCATTTAATTCTACAAAATTTGATATAAGAAGTTTTTAGTTTTTTTTCAAAGTTAAATAGATTCTCAAATCAGCATATTGTTTTGATTATTTAAAATAGAAATGAAAACTTTATTTTTATTTTTCTTTTAGAACAACATATATATACATTATAATTTACTCACGAACTATTATTTAATTTCACATGTCACAAATGGAATTTAAACCACCAATCAACTCATAATGCATTTAACTCTCAGTAAATAACACGTTAACTATATGTTGAAATTTTTTAAATAGAAGTCCATGTCTATTTATATGAAAAATCGTTTTATCTTTGGTTTCGATTTTCTAAAAAACAATTAAAATGACAATGATGAAAAACTGATTGAATTATATTAAAAATGAAATGAAGAAGTAAGATAGAGAACATGATAATAATAATTCAATGTTCTTCAAAAAAAATATAGTATTGTTGATGACGTATTAGTTACAAAGTACAAAATCAGGGCCGGTCCAAAGATATAATGGGTCTAGGACGAAAAGAAAAATGGGTTCCAAAGTCATAAATATAATAAAAATTAAATTAAAATAGACACATCATTATAAAATTCACTGTTTATATTAAAAAAAACATAAATATGGTCAAAATATTACAAAAACAACTAATTTAAAGAAAAATACTTCTCCTAACATTTTCAGATAAGTTAGTTTTTTTCTTTATATAATTATATCATACATTCTAGGAATTTTTGGCCCCTTAAGTTTGTAGTTGGATGATAGTTGAGTAGGGTGATGGTGGAGAACCGAATTTCTTTTGGATCGTGTAAGTTCATTTTTCGAACTGATATTTTCACCATATGTCTGGGTTACAGGAAATCAAGTATATGATCATCCAAAATGACATTTGTATATCTAGGCACAAAAACACAAGCCAAATCATCAGATGATTCTAAGTTTGTATAGAAGAATGAGAGCTAAAGAGGGTATATCATGGCTCAATAAAAGAGTCGTATTTATCCTAGACATATTAGGGTTTCCGTCTTCTATATTAATTAGGAGAATCACGAATTTAATTACATAATCAATGGTTACCAAAATTGATAAGATTTATCAATTTCACCATAATCATCCATTAGAATTTGGTTTTACCATAATCACACAAGCCAAAGACAGATTAGGGGCCACCGCCAGGGGTTTTGCCCTTGGACCCCGTTAGGGGCGCTGCCCCTAGGACCCTGCAAGGGGGCGTAACCCCCTTGACCACCGTCTTGCTGTCGTATCGGCTTATAGTTCGATCTTATATATGCATGCACTCCGTATTCACCAAACATATAATATAGAGTACAAAACAATAAGCCCCTTAGCTCACATGTCAGTCCCAATTACACAAAATGTTAGGTGTCACTAAAATCACCAACACAAAATGAAAGTAAACATGTCTTTTACAAATGATAAACTATGTGTAGCTTTTTTCAAATGAAAGTGATGAACATTCTTTTTCAGCAAAACTTGATCATAAAGGTGGTAACGAGAGAGAAATGTTCATGGATTGGTGGAAATGATGAAGATGATGCACATATTTTTCTATCATAACATTTGGGTGATTGTTAAAATAAGTAAGTTGTATGTCATATTTGCATGTTAAGGAATGTGACATGTATTTCTAGGTGAGGGTACGGTGGTATGTGGGAAAAAATGTAACGATATGGATGATTAAAAAGTGGTAAAAAAATGTTTCGTTATGGTCATTGGTCAAGAAACACAAGTCAATTTGCTAACATTAGCATAAGGCATAATGTTCACTTAACGAAAATATATTTTCCGCTAAAGTCTGTTAGGGGTTAATGAAATTCAGTTAGTGTTTTGTTAAAAATAAGTTTGAATTTTATCTGACCAAATGATGATGTGGAAGTAACATGCTAGTTGTGGTCTTCGAGAAAATGCATATTAGTCATCGAGGCTACTAGTTCATTAAGTAAACATGTTGTACATAGTTGTTATGACTATGCCCATCAAGGAGTCTTTATAATCCTTTATCATGGCTTGGGTCTCATTAGTGTAATGCTTCTAGTCTTCAGTAACAACTAGGACTTCATTGGGTTGGCCTTTTTAGTACTAGATAACGACTAGAGTTTTCATAAGGCTACGCTTATACTACTTGGAAACAACCGATAGCTCTCCTCGAAATGCATTCTGGTTCTCGGTGACGATCTTGAGTTTATCAAGTTGGGCTTCTATTCCTCGATAACAACCAAGTCCTCATTGGGTAAGCCTTATATTCTTCGTTACGACCAAGTTATCATCGGGCAAACCTTCTAGTTCTCGGAAATGACCAACATGCTCATTGCGATAGGCTTCGACTTCCCAAAGTAGAAGGCTGATTTTTGACCAACTTGACACTATTTCAGACTTAGCCATTTTTACTAATTTCTTGAAACCTGAAACAACTCATGATGTTTTTTTAAACATTTTTAAAGATATTTCATCTTATTTTAGTAACAATCACATACATAAATATATTTCAATGCTAAACTAAGTGTAAAAAGTAATAAACAATTAAGCCAAAATTGGCATAAAAATCATCATCATCATATATATCATAAGTGAATGAAAAGTCAATGAAAGATCAAAGGGTCAAGTACATGCCAAAAAATAAAAATAAAAGACATTTAGTTATGATCAATGGATTTCATCAATTCAAGTACCAATCTCCTAAACACCATGAACCATGTTAGAGTTTTGATGAAGTCACTTCTACTCTCTGTCATGTCATCTCATTTCTTTCCTAAGAGCTCAATCATCTTGTTTAGGAAGTCATCATAAAACACATTTCTTCTTATTAAGTATAACAAATGTTTTTCTAGCATTTAGATGTGGGGAACTCCTTTATGAGGACGGACAATAGGTACACCTTTTTGCATCTCCTCTGAGCCATCATGTAACACCCGTTTCAAGTATGAACCAATCCGTCATATTGTAAGTCTTCATTCAGTGTGGCCACGACATGGTGGAGCCTCGCCACGGCGTGACCATGTTTTCAAAGATAGAGGGATTTAAAAGACCCACCACGACATGGCCATATAGGCCACGACATGGCCATATGGGCCACGACGTGGCAACGAATTTTAATGAAACCCTGAATTTCGGGCTTTACGCCCTATTTAAAGGAATGAGGAGGTTAGGGTTTATTCATCCTCATCCTCCATCACTCTCAAACCCTCATAAATCATAACCCTCATCTTCTTGAAGCTTTTGGAGCTCATTTGCTAGCTTTCGATGATTTTGAAGGAAGTAGATGAAGATCTTATGCAAGAGACCAGCAAGCAACACTCCCCAACCTCTGAAAGCATCTTGCTGGACCATTTGTAAGGATCTTGATCCAATCTTTTTTCTTTTCCTTAGAGATATAGAGTTATTTTTCTTAATAAGCTCTTTCATTGGATTTTGGGTGGAGCAAAGAGATAAATTTTGCAACTTTATGACTCTTAGGAGTCCCAAGGACCTTATATTTCATAGATCTAAGAATTTGTTATGATTTGGAAATCTTGCATGAGGTTTGGGTCCCTTTTTCCTCTTTTGACCTAGGTTTGAGGAGGGACATGAATGTCCATAAAGTTTACATTTTTAGAGATCAATTGGACACCTGAAAGCTTTCTAGAAAGTTTGGACTTGTATCTCATGTGATTAAGGACTTAATGGAAGAGTTGAACCTCTTAAATGACCTTTAGAACCTAAGTTGTGAGACCTTGTGTTAATGGAATGTCTTAATGGATAAGTTGCAAACTTTATCCATCAAGACGTTGGGGAGGAGTAAACCTGGGCTTTTGAGCCCCTGAAAACGAATTTACAACAACTTAACTCGAATAAGCCATTCAGACTGGTCCCCACGACGTGGCACTAGGTCACAATGGCATGGCGACCATAGGCTAGTCGAATGTCTTATCGTTTTGTGCCCACGACGTGGCCCAGGAAGGCCATTGTGTGGAGGAGTGTTGATGGCGTGGACTCTGTCTTTGACTGTTGAATTTTGACCTAAGTTGACTTTTGACCAACTCCTACTTTTTGGGAAGTGGATTGAGAGTGTGGCTTGTATGATTACCTAGGTGGGGTTTAACACCTGCATTCCGGCAAAGAGAGAGAGAGAGAGAGATAGATAGATAGATAGATAGATAGAGAGGGAGAGAAAGAGAGAGAAAAAAAGAGGTAGCAGCTGAGTATCGACTGAGAGGTGAGTCTCTTTACTGTGCTCGTGGGTCAAAGGCACCAATACCGACCCAATGAATTATGTTAGTATAATGATAATTGTCTTTGTGACACTTATTGATATGCATGTATGTGCTTGTTGTCTTTGTGACTCTTGCTGACGTTATTGTATGCTTAGCTGTAGGGGTGAAATAGACCCAATACAAGTTGAAAGATACCGAAGGAGTTGAAATAGACTCAGGGGGTGAAATAGACCCAGTACCGGATGAAAGATACCGAAGGAGTTGAAATAGACTTAGGGGTGAAATAGACCCAATACCGGTTGAAAGATACAGAAGGAGTTGAAATAGACTCAGGGATGAAATAGTTCCAAGTTAGTTTCTATCTGTTATGTATGTTTCTATATGGGGTATCTTGGGGAAACTCACTAAGCTTTGTGATTATAGTTTTATGTTTATGGTTTCAGGTACTTCTGGTTCGAAAGGGAAGGACCCGACATGATCGCACCGCATCCACCAGTATTCTGCATTTTATGACATGATTTCTAATCTGATAACAATTTTATACGTTATCACATCTTGATGGATTTTGGAATGAATGAATGATTATTTTGATAGTTGTAAAAATAAAATTTTTACGTAGTATTTTTGGGACGTTACAAATTGGTATCAGAACCTTGGTTTGAGTGATTCGGGCACGCTCTCGG